ATTTTTTATAAAAAATAAAATAATTTTTAAAATTTTTTTTTTTTTTTTTTTTTTACAAATGTCTTTCCATCCTTTTCCAGTTCTTACCGGGTCCGTCAGCATGGTCCGCAGGTGTGAGGCCAGCGCGAGCACGGCCAGCGAGTTGAAGAAGGCCCCGTTCAGGAGCGTGTACCAGAAGTTTTTCGCGGGCAGGAGCATGACAAAGTTGACCACAAACTCGGCGTACAGCACCAGGAACCAGGTCATGGTGGCACACACCATACCACAGCTGTCCTGAATGAACCACATGGGGCGGTTCCCTGCGCCGTGGCCCCCGTGATGTGGCCCAACAATCACTCCGGCCGCCAGGCTCCCTGACTCCACATCTGTACCTGAGGACAGCAGCGGGTGGTGCTGCTCCATGTCTCGCAGTCGGTGGTTTGAAGACTGCATCATGCTCTAGAAAAGAAAAGAGAACGCAGGTGAGTGTGATGGAGGTGACAGGAAGGTAAGGAGTGATGAGGATGATGTGGGGCAGCAACGATAAAAGGGAAGGTCTGTAAAATAGTGTAAAAAAGTGTTGAGGCAGTAACTCTGTCCAAAAGACAGGGGGCTGAACTAGAGGAGGCAGGGATCAAGACTGATCAGAATGGACAGTGTGACGTCAACAGCAGACCAGAGGAACTGCTACGGTCGAACGGTTTGACAATATAGTTGTCGAGGAGAGGAGAGGAGAGTCGGTGGATCTACTGACACCAGGCGGGAGGAAAAGAACAGATTTAAGAACGTAGTGAGGAAGGATATTTAGAGGTTCATAATAAAAGGTGAGGTTTTGGACAGGGTCTGATGAAACATGGAAACATCGCTACACTCTTAGCTGAGATTAAATATGTTTCTTTCTTTCATCCAGGCAGTTGTCAAAAACACGAGAGATATTAAAGGTTTTGTCTTCTGTGTTCACGTCAAGGTCACAGCGATGACCACGTCCGGGGTTTCAAGATAAATCAATGGCCAACTCGCTCCCTTTAGGAAACTGAACCTGCAGCTCCTAAATCAATGTGCATGAAGCCAACGGCCTAATAATAATCTGGAGACCCAGTTAGCTGCTGCTGGCAGTCGGAACTGACATTAATCAACAACACAACAGACAAAACACAACGATCCCAGATCACACCAACGGATGAAGTTCAGAAATACATTTTCATTGACTCTTCTAGAAAAGATAAAACGTTTGATACGTCGCCACAACTTTGGTATAAACAACATGTTGATGTGCTGTGATTGGTGAGTTTAACTTTCTAACTTAGTCCAGATTAAACATGTGCGACATATCAGATATCAAAGTATATTGTTTTGTAGTGAAGCTTCAGAAAACCCACTGTGTTTTGTCAACATTTTCCAGCAATGAAACCCAAGGACCAGTGATGTTTGGAATTCAAACTTCTTCAGTAAAACCACCATCTAAAAACAGTAAACATGAGGCTGTCATTCAGACAGACGACCACTACAAAAAAAAAAATCTTACTTTCATTTTTAATTTGGTTTTCCCTCCAGCCACAGGCCACACCTCTTACTGTAAGAACAACTGAAATTTGAATGGAGCTTTGAATTGTTTTTTTTAAAACACAGGCTGGAAATTTGCATCAAGAAAAAAAAACAACAAAACTGGGGGGATTTTTATGAGCAGACATGGACCACGGTCCTGCATCAAGCAAAGAGACTTTTCTTGAGTCTCTTTCTGATATGAATAAGTAGAAATGGACTCACGTGATAAACGAGAGTGACACCAACAGAGCAACAGAAAATTTATAAAACAAAGCTCATGGAAAAATGTGACAAATCATGTTTTTACAACATGTTCAACCATAACATGTTTTTTTCTTCCCAACATCACTAACTTTGTTTCATTGAAACAAACTAAAATTAGGATTGTTCTTGAGAGGGTGACTCCCTTCCCCCCACCTCACCCGCCCACATCCCTCAGCTTCTCCCTAATTCACGTGATTGATTTCTGGGTAGTCAATAAAAGGCGGGGTCTATTAAAACCACAGCAGCAGCTGCTGTTCCAGCTGCCTGCCCTTCCAGTCAGAGGGCACAAACCACCACCATCACCACCATCATCTCACTTGTTTTCTGTGATACACAGAGAGAGAGAGAAAAACCAGCAGTCACTTCAGTGTCACTCTGCCCGGCGTCAGTGTTTGTGCTGCTGGACTTCACTGCAGAGTCAGCCCTTGACAAGTGTCAACAAAAGAAACTGTGAGAGATGCTGATTGGACCACGATGATTCACAGTCTCATATATATATATATATATATATATATAGTCACACTCACCACTTTTTTACTATACAACAC